GCCTGTTGTGTGGGAGTGGGTGTGTGCATGCCAACGTGCAGTCATAAATACTGAGCTGGACTAGCCATCAAGTAGGATAATATATCTGACAGCTAGGTACTGGATCAGCTGTAAGTCTGGATGCTGGAGAGGCAAGAGGGCCTCTTTGGAACATGTGGAATTTTACACCTGGTCTGTCCATACTTTTTCTCATGGGAGTCATTTTAACTCCTTGCATACCTGGATGCAGGGCTGCAGCCCAAAGCAATGCCACTAAGCTCATAGGAAAGACTTGTTTTCACTTCCAGCCTCTTAGAAATCCTTGATCTACCTATTATTCTGCTTGGGGCACTACAGGATATGTAGTCTGCCTACTGTCATTTGCCATTCCCTGTTTGCCTTATCACCTTCTTGGTTCAGAACAAATTTCTCCATTATTTCTCTGAGAACCTTCCCACTTTGTGCCAGTGGAGCCTGTGGATCGTTGGAGTCAAGCCTCCTCCCAGTAGTAGGAACTCCGAAGTAATGCGTATCCTTATATTTCTTGCTATTGAGTTATACTAACCTAGAGAACAATGCTAGAAATTTCATGCCCTTGCGCCCCCCTCCCCCCCTTTCAGTCCATTCAGTTTTGGAATATGGAAAATTAGAATATGAAAAATAAGGAAAATGGAGTTTGCTAAAAATTAAACCAAGAACTTACTAATAAAACCAAGTCTAAGCTTACAGAGAAGGCTGAGATTCTGAACTATCAAACAAATCTTAATAATGAGGTCTGAGAGATGGCATTTCTTTACTTTCTGAACTCTCCAATGACAATTCCGATGAAGTTAATTCACGGGTTTCCGTTTTAGTCGCAATGCCATATTGCGTTTGGTTGACTCATTGATTTCCTGACCCAGCAGTTTGCCTCGTGACTCACAACTCCAGTAGGACTAACAAGAATTTGCCATGCTAATATACTTTGCTATTTACAAATAATTCCAAGGAATTGTTAATACAGTCTTGAAAAATAAGCATTTATTTGGGTTTGTGCATTAGACTGTGTGGAAGGAATCTTCCCCAGCCTCCACTTGAAAACCAAACACTTTTCCAGTCATAATATTAAAACAGACACTTCAGATAACTTTGAACAGAACTTCCCCTTTTTTAGGGAGAAGAGCTTCTAGTTATAATGGCAGTGAAGCTTTCCTTCACTTGTTTTCTTTACTTCATGAGTTCAAGCGGTGAAGTTCATAGCATTTTGTTATGTCCCTTTGATGATACTGTCACCAATTAGTCCTAGGTTTTGATGCTATGCCACAAGAGCTATGCCCCAGAGGTCTCACAGGATGGATAAAGGTGTGACTTGTTTGAATGGCAGGTATTCAGAAGACTTGTTCTAGACCCTGCTTTGCTAACAGCTAGTTTTTCTCCTAATCGGAATGCAGTTGCGATGTCTATCCCCCTTTTCTTCCAGTCCCTGTCAGTGAGATAGGAAGGACTGCGACTGACACCTCAGGAGAGACATCGATGGAAAGACCAAGTACAGGTTGCGTCAATCTGAATTTTAGAGTTGTCATCACAGGTAGGTTTCTTCAGGTAAGGGATTGCAGAGGGTCTGAAGGCTGACTGTGCATGTCAGCCTTTGGTTTCTGATAGTACACATGCAGGTAAGCTGAACTGGGGGCTCCTGAGATCTATAGAGTTCCCAGTGATTTCCAGAGCAGTGTGACTAGTGTGAGTGATGAAGGATTTAGCCCCGTTTCTCTCATTTCTACCACTATTGGTTTGAAAGAAACAGTTCCCTGGTTCTGCCTTTCCTCATAGTTCTCTCTGCATAGTGATGAAGCTGTTAATTATAGTCAGGTTTTACTTTTATGTTTCTTTAGGTAAGGAATTCCTATTGAGATAAATATACTGAAGAGTAAAGGATTAGCATGCTACATAATAGTAATTAACTGGATAGTTGGGTCTGTAAGAGGTGCACAGCATTTGTTGTCCTTTCTTATCCCCGCATTGGCTTTCACTTGAGAGCCAAAGATAATTCCTGCACATTCATAGAAAAGCTAGACTGGAAGGGGCCTCTGGGCATCACCTCACCCAGTACCCCATTTCTGAAGAACGGAACCTTCTGACGGACGCTCCCTTGCACCATTGCATCATTCTTTGCAGGCCTTGAGATGACTGGTACAGTCCTGAAGAACATTATTTGGTTCCTCATTTCACACCAACCTGTAGAGAGCAGAAGAATGGTCTAGTCTTCACAACCCAGGTAGGTCTAGAGCCATTCAATGAAGTATGAATCTTCTTCAGCCCAGCTGCTGATGGCCTCTGCTCTGCGAATAAAGCTCCTGGAGTTTCATCAGACCTATGTCACAGCGTGCCTCTGGGCCCCCAAGCTGGTGGCTGTGAGTGCCAGGTCCATTAATGCTCCATTCAAGCTGAGACTGTCAGAGAGCACAGCTGGGCTTGTCACTCTTCTCCTCTTGGCCACTTGGTGTGAGACTGAGCAACACCTTGTTCGTCTGGAGTGTGCCAGTTCTCTGAACACAGGGAAACAGCCTTCCACTCTATGTCACCAGGTCACAGTCCACAAACCTGAAGCACGGTCAGAGGAGAGGACAACAGTGACTGTGATTTCCTCTTGCTATTGTGTCTTGTGCCCATTATCTCAGCGGGAGAGAGACAAAGCTGCTGTTAAGTCCCGCCAGGGAACAGATCTGTTTCTGATTCTCCTCTGTCTAAAGCATCTGCCCTGGTGACACCACCCTGACAAACACCATCATGCCCAACGGTTGGGCTGGCTGCGCACAGCCACGGTGGAGTTTGAGGGAGCGGTGTGTAGGTACCTGCAGGATGCAGCTCTGACATCTTGCTCTGGGGCTGGGTCTTCTTTTGCTCATGCCTGAGGCTTACTTCCACTTTGAACTTCAATTCCTTCCTCCCCACTCAGATTCAGCATGATCAGAGGCAAACCCCAAGTCACTCGGTGCCCATGGAAGCACCTTTTTCCCATCTGAGAATGGCGGTGTGTGAATCTCACGTTCTCCCTTCCTGCACACATGCAGGATAAGCCCTGCTAAAGGCACCTTCTTTTTAACCACATTGCAAAACACATCAGAAGAACTCTCTCAGAGCACGCGCTTTCACTGACTCCAAGCATCCCGCAAGATTTTGCCCATTCCTTTTTAAAGAAAGCTGCAGAACCGAGCCTGGAGTCATTAGGACAGTGTCAGGGATCACTAGAAGGAAGTGCATCTTTAACACATTTTGCTTTTGAAATTATCTTGAGCTTAAGCCCTCCAAAGTTTAAGTCCTTGACAAAATGTCTCCCTTTGGCCAGAAAATAGTCTTGGCCCTTGGGGACAACATCTGGGTTTGGATATTGTGGAGGGATTTCACTAGGAGTATCCAATGGGAATCACTTCATCCCTGAGAACACAAAGGGAAGCACAGCTGAAGAGCACAACAGGACAGGGAGGAGCAGGAGAAAATGGCTCTTCCAGGAAGCAGCCACAGATGGAGGAGTGGATGGAAGAACACAGGAGGAAATGGCTGAGAAGAGAACTGAACGTGTTCTAAGTCAAGGGTGAAATCCCACATTTTATGTGACAGGGATTGAGGAACAAGTGCTACAGCAGCAGTGGTTCTGATTCCCACAAAAGCAATACGCTGCCGGAGCCTGAACTGAGCGTGTGGGTCTCATGACCCTACTCTGCTCTGGACATCGGGGCCATCGGGCCCAGGCTCTGCCTGCCCCAACGGCACAGGAGAGGGTTCCATGGCACCTGCAGAGCAGCCGCACGAGGCATCATTAAGGAGTCAGCGTTTAATGATGCCAAGTCTGATGGGGCTTCTGCAAGTGGCACAGGTGATTCCCACTGCTGTTGTTGTGCTGCGACAGAGGCCACAGTGGGGCTTGTTAAAAGTTGGAGTTCTTCTTTTGCCAGGCATCTGCATGCCTGCTGGTGACAATGTTAGGGGCTGGCTGTGCAGGGCCCCCAGACAATACTTGGCAAAGCCCCCGGGGCTGTGAGCAAAGCCAACCCAACAACAGACCGTTCCTCCCCAAGACAAGGAGAGGTGGTGACCTCTGCTGCTCTGCCTTCCTTGGGCATGGGCAACCATCACCACCCGCTCTGCAGCTCTCCCCCTCTGCCACGGGATATCTTGTTGGAAGAGAAGGTTTAGTTCCCTCCAGCCAAAGGTTTGTTTTCAAACATCCTTTGTCACAGATGTTTGAAAAATTTATATTACATCAGTGGAACTTCTCCGACACAGTGTCAATGCCTTGATGAAAATGAACTCAGAAAAATATTGTTCTCAGGACTGGAATGGAGGAGGGGAGACGGGTGCTGGTGCTGGAACTGTCAGACTCAAGGTTTTGTCAGTGCTTTGTGTGTCCCGACATAACCACCCTTCTGGGGTGATCGGCCTTGACAGGCAGGACCCAACAGGACCCAATGGGCAGCCGGTGGCTCTGGCATCCCAGGAGAGGAGGAGGGAGGAAGGAGGTCCTGTCGCCAGGAGTGGGGTTTGGGCTGGAGGGGAGAGGGAAGGGCCGCAGGGAGAGCAGTGTGAGGGCAGGGGGCAGTTGGAGGAGGCAGAGGAGAGCAGAGCCCTCGGCCTTGCAGCGGCTGCCCCCCGGCCAGGCGCTGGGAAAGCCTCTGCCCCGGGCAAGGGGAGCGGAGCTGCGGGGCAGAGCTGCGGGCTGACGTCAGCCACCGGGGGCCGAGCCCACGGGCATGATGTCACAAGCAGAGAGGTGAGGTCACAGGGGAGGCCCTCTCCCATTGGCCCCTGCCAGCCAAGAGGAGGCCTGGCTGGTGCTGCCCGGGAGAGCCCAGGCCCAGAGCCCAGAAGCAGCCAGGCCCGAGCAGCTGGGGACGCCCTGCCAGGACAAGGCTTGGCCCGGCGCAGGCAGCACCAGCCCGGGGTCAGGAACCAGCCGCTGGGGCCAGCAAGGGAAGCCGGGGCAGGCGGGCAGGGCCTGGGCCGGCGCCACCGGGAGAGAGCTGCGGGAGCGAGCTGCCGGCAGCATGTCAGGGGCAGAGGAGGTGTGCGTGGGGCCTGAGCAGGAGATGCAGTGCCAACCCCCCGCCTGCTCTGGGGGCCACTCCGAAGGCAGGGAAGCCAAGACCAAGAAGAGCCGCTCCTCCCGCTCCTCCCGGGCCGGGCTGCTCTTCCCCGTGAGCCGCATCGACAGGCAGCTGCGCAGAGGCCTCTTTGCCCGGCACTTTTCAGCCAGGGCCCCCGTCTACCTGGCTGCGGTGCTGCAGTGGGTGACGCACAAGATCGTGGACGCGGCTGCCGTTGTTTGCAAGAAGAGCAAGCAGAAGCGCATTTCTCCATCCCATATGGAGGCGGCGCTGCAAAGTTGCTCTGGGCTGCAGCAGCTCCTGCGAAGGGCTGCGAGGCCCAGGCGCCGCGGCAGGGCCGTCCGCCAGGGAAAGCGCGAGGCCTCACCCTCCAGGAAGAAGACCACCAAGAGGAAGAGCAAGAAGAGATGCCCCGGGCGAAGGGCTGCATCTGCCCGTACCACCGCTGCTGTCCACTGAGCAGAAAGTAGAAGCTCTTGCCCCACACCGGCGAGGAGAGGGCTGCGACACCTGCAAGGATCTTGCCCAACCCAGCTGTGCAGTCTGAGGGTACAATAAAAGCTTTTGCACTGCCGTGTGGGACATGGGGCCTTTTTTGTTGTGGACTGTTTTTGTGTTTTTGCTTTTTCGCTTTGTGTTGGACTGGTGTCTCCCGGCTGGCCCGAGGCAAGGAGCTGGCTGCAGGCAGAAAGCTCTGCAAAGTGGTGCTGGGGCACACCCCTCGCTGAGCATGAGGGCAGCAGCCCGCCTGGAGGGGAATTGTTCTTGACAAGCAGTATCTGCCTCCAGCTTATGTTTGTACTTGACCTGAAAGCTGCTGAGAGGGGAACAGGGGATCTGCCCCCCAGAGGATGGTCAGGGGTTGTGAGGAATTTTGTGGGTGAATGTTCCTGCAAGAGCAAAGGGACCTTCATGTCCGTCTTGCACCATCCCCAGAGGAAATATGGGAGAGACATTACTTGCCCTTCCGTCCATCCACGTTTGCTCTTCCTTGGTGGGGAAGGCAGTAATTTCAATCTTGTTCTACTAACACATTCCAGAACTGGTTTGAAGTGGCGACAGTGGGAGATGTACATCCATCTCTCATTGTCGTTAAGCCTTAGAGACAACGTGTAGCACATAAGTAATTCCCATCACCTTTCAAATAGCTGCATGGATGGACACTCCACAGGCAATGCCCCTGAGCCTTCTCTTCTCTGGGGTGAACAGCCCCAGCTCGCTCTTGCAACCAAAGCCTACATTTTCCCAAGCCTCTTTCTTCATCTTCCAGTGCTTTCTTCCTTTCTTCCCCTTCCTTCTCCTCCCCTGTTGGGCAGGGCAGGGTGGAGAGTGACCTAGGCAGAAGGAATCCCAAACCTGCCCCAATGCCTGCTGTGGTTTACAAAAATACAGGTACGTGGGGGGTGATTGCCTTGGGCAGGTGTGTCTGGGCAAGGCTGTGGATGAGAAATTCCTTGAGAACATCCCAAGGACTGCAGAATATTCCTGTCTGCAGCATTGTGTCCCCTGTACTTCACCCAAGAGTCAATGCGGGAAATGTGCTTCATGAGTGCCTTCCGTCAAGATAAATGTGTTAACGACTTTTATTTTTGATTTCTGAACATTTGGCCTTCTGGGCTTTTTATAGCAATATGAGTAGTTTTTCAGATGGAACCAAGGAGCCATTTTTTTCTTTTTCCTTCCTTTTTTTTTTTTTTTTTAAAACTGAAAAATCATTCCAACATATCATTTAGGTACTTTGGAAGTCCACTCCCTCCTCACATTGCTCACAGTGGTTTCAACTCAAATAGTAAAGCCAGATCTTCACCTTGGTCCCATCTTCCTCCCATGTCTTTTCAAATTTTCCACTCCTTGATTCAGGGACAACTTCCTGATGATCTTCTCCAAAAATATTTGGGTGTCAGTATTTTACAGTCTATTGGATTCCATTTTCCTGGCTTTATCATACTGGGAAGTAGAAATCTATCTTTAAAATTAATAGCCAATATTTCCAATGTTGTATGATTCGAACAGCTTGGGTAAAATATTCTATATTGTAGGAGGCTTCATATGCAAATACTTATGAAGCCATAACAGGCTTCTGTTCTTGAGTTGTTCTCCTCATAAAGGTCTAATAAAGGTATCACTAATTTCTATTTTTTTTGGAAGATTACAGTCTGCAATGTAGCTTTTTCCCCAGCTCTTGTGGAACTGAGTCCATTTGTTCGTGAAAAAGTAGCTTCTTCAGGGTGAGTAGAAAGCACGATGTGGGGACAGTGTTGCTTCTTTGTATAAGGAAGCTGGGACCAAACCATCCATTCTGGGAGAGTGAAGTCTCTTCAAATCTGGGGCACAAGAATTAAGATTTCCCATTTTACTAATCATTCTGAAAAAAGCCCATGCCTTAAAAATCTGCTTGCAGAGACTTCACAGGAGGAGAGCCTTAAGGGTGTTTTGAAATATGAACCAGATGACAGCACCCACAGCAATGGTTTTGAGGAACAAACCTCATCATAGTTCATGCTTGCAAAGCGCCCATAGCTGTTTGTGGCAAGACAATGGGAGGAAATGGCTTCAAGTTGTTCCACGGGAGGATTAGGTCGGATATTAGGAAAAATTTCTTCACCAAAACGGTTGTCAAGCATCAGAACAGGCTGCCCAGGGAAGTGGCTGAGTCACCATCCCTGGAGGTACGTAAAAGATATGTAGACATGGTGCTTAGGGAGATGGGTCAGGGGTGGACTTGGCACTGTTAGGTTAACGGTAGGACTTGATCTTAAGAAGGGTCTGTATTCTATGATTCTAAGACCAGAAGGTGGCAGCAGGTCAACACTGACATTCTCCAGAGTCCCTCCGTCTCCTGTAGGAGATTCCTGGTTGGTTTGCTGTCCTACAACGGCAGGACTTACTGATGTCAGTGCTACAGGCAGTTATAAGCAGGACACAGGGAAAAATAAAATACTAATCTTAAAAGTTCAATTCCTGTTTCATCTTTCATACACTCTTGATCTTATCTAAGTAAGAATTTTGCACTGATTTGCTACGGAGCAATTGGTTTAAAAGTCAGCACATGAGATTTCGTATTGCATTGTTTCTCTTTGACAATATTCTAGTAAAAAAACTTAGTATCCTAAATTTGCTATATTGCTATACTATACCATAGTGTAATCTTAAAATAATTAAAAATTGCTAAGTTTAAAATCCTGCTGGTTTAATTACCATGTGATTACCATATGTCACAAAATGTGTATTTTCTAGTAAACACGGCTTTTCAAGTATGTTGCTTGCAGGTCGTCTGCTTATAAGCTTTCTATACTTGACATCCAAAGCAATGTAAAGCTATCCACGTGTGCTCTCTGTATTTTTCTGGGGCAAATACTGCATTAAACTGCAGATCATTGTAACAGAAATATTGAGTTTGGAATGAATGGCATATGAATGGAAATATGTATGGCGAGGCATTTGAATAAAGAATGGAAAAAGAGACAAAAGACATGGCAGGCCTTAAGAGATGCAGAAAGATTTCATTCAAATAACCAGAGAACAAGGACTGCAGCAATTTAAAGCCATAAAGACAAGGTGACAAAGAGCTGAAAATCAGGCTTGCAGCCATAAAAGACTCAAGTAGGAAAATGGAGAACACTGAGACTCAGCAATTTTTCCTCAGACTTGCAAGGGGCAAGAGAGAATAGTCAGACAAAAGATCCCAGTAAATCTCCACTCAAAAGGTAAGTGGTTTACCTTATGCAAAAGGTAAAACCAAAATGCAATTAATAATAATTAATAATGGTTTCCAATCAAGAAGAACCTCGACACACATGATGAGAACTCAGCAGCTGCTGACAGCTCTCCTCTGTGGCACTATTATTGCTCCCCACATTGCTTGGAAAAACGTGGGTTGGCACTTGTGAATAGGAGAGAATGAGTAAGTGAAATCGGTGGCAGCAGGAGCATGAGTGAAATCAGTTTTACTTAAAATAAAAATTGCCTTCCTCTTCACATTGAGCCTTCCTACAAAAGCTGTTGTAGATAACGTAGCTTTTTGGTTTGGTTTGGTTTTGGGTTTTTTTCCCCACATCTAGGATACTAGGAACAAAGCATAAAAATTTAAAGCGCAAATTCTACACCGTAAGTTTCCCCTTTTTTCTTTGACTTTTTTTGTTTTATCCTACACCATGACAAGGACTTTCATTTTCAAAAGCTACTCGCCAATCTGCACATTTCTAAATTGAAATGGATTTTGCCTGGAAGAGAACTGAGGACAACCTAGTGCTTCCATCTTCACACTCTTCCTTTTACCTGTTTTCTTGTGTCTCAGTGCCCAAAATTCCATGCACCACCTGTTTTCTTCTTTGTGTCTCAGTGCCCAAAATTCCATGCACCAGAAAGGTTCAGAAAGATATGAAGTCAAGGAAAGTCAAATGTAATTAAGAGGAAAAATCTCCTAAAAGCAAAGGTTTACTTGACTATGCAATTGTATTCTGTGTGAAAATAGTGCAAGAGCCAGCCTTAAAGGCACTGTAAAGTATTGGATACTGTAGGAGAATAAATTCCCTGGTCTATTCCAGCTGTGGGGGAAGAAAGGGGAGGACACCAGATAACATGCTGCATTTTGTCGTTGTTTTGTTGTTCCATATTTTTTTCTGTCTGACAGAAAACATGGCCTCAGACTGTGTGTTGCCATTCTTCTATATAGAACTATGTAGATGATGTGTTCAGTGGACAAAATGTAGATCCTGCTATGGAATCATGGTATCATCCCACCAAAACACCAAGTCACCTGGAACTGATTGTTACATTTAACAGACTACTTCTGCAAAATAGGTGGTATTAAGTCATCTGTGTTGGAAAAATCTCCTCACTGCGTAACCCAGGAGTTGGAAAGTGGATGCACATAAAAAAAGTGCTTAGTCTCGATAACCAAATTTGCACAAGGGACTCACACCGTAAGGCTGCCATTCCATGGCCAGTTTGAGTTGCTAAAAGCAGTTGCCACTGTTCCTTGTGTGTCATCGCAAACATTTACAAAGCTACAAAACAAACAGTGGTGAACTGATCCAACCTAGAACTAGCCTACAAGACTTCATTCTACCCCAAATTGCTCCGGCTGGCTAACTGCAGAGTTTATGCACTTGGACATGGGGTCAGTTCTGGCCACAGTGCTCACAGAAATTCCATGTAACTTGGTATCCTAGGTTTCATTTCACTAGAAACACCTTGATTCTTGAGGGCTAAAATAATCCAACAGAAGAGTAAAATGTATGTCTGGGGCACAGCAGACATTCAGCTACGCAGACATAAGTGAAACAAGCAGCCACAAAAGAACAACATGCTATTATAAAGCAAACCACTGAACAAACGTGGATGCACGTTTGGAAGTATAAATTCGAATTTTCAAGAAAAACAGTCATAATACTCAAGGAATCTAATTGGAGATCCGTAACTAGTGGTTGTTCCCCAAGGGTCAGTACTGGATCCAG